GCCGAGTCCCTGTCCACGCTGCTCATGGTTCATCACTACGGCCGTCCCACACATGCACTTACAGAGCTCAGGCGCCGACTACGACGTTTGCGCATCCACCCGAACATGTACACCTTCACCCACTTCTCGCAGCCCAATGCGGTGTACTGGAAGCAGCGAGTAGAACTCCGCCCTGACCTTCCACGCTCCGTCAACCCGCAGTCTGATGTATACATTGGCAGCACCAGCATCACTTATCCCAGCCGAGAGCACAATCGTAGAGCCAAGTTACTGGGTATTCAACACGTTCAATTTAACAATGCAGAACCGGCACTCAGATGGTGGCATCACTTCGACAACTATGACGAGTTTGCCACTTGGGTCATCCTGACAGACCCCGACCAAGAGGTCCTTCGGCTGCGAAGAAGGAGTTGCACAGTCTATGGCAGGAATTTTCATCGAGTGGCGCTCAAACACACTCAGGCCTGGTCCATCATTGCCCGCCTCACCTCGGAGCACATTGAATCCTGGGAAGAAGAAAAACGACTTTGCAGCGGACGGCACTCGGACTTGGACATCTATGCCATCTACAGGTTGTCCGGCAATGTGGAACAGCCTCATCGGCATCGAGTTCGCAACATTCTTCGACGAGTTCTTGATTTCCGACAACTTCAGCAACCCAGGATCAACCTGCTATTACGATTACCGTGGCTGTCTCACCCAGATTATCAACGGACCACCCGCAAAGCTCTTCGTCGTCTCGTCATCGACCACCGCAACTGGGCCCTTCCATTCCACTTACCCAGTACGAAGCTGGCTGAGACTCCTCATCCCCGAGTCCACACAGTCATGTGGAACTTCTCGTCATTTCAGGACTGCTACCCCTTGACATCCCCAGGGCCATCATCATGCCAATGCGACGCCTGGCTAAAACGTCAGCCCTGGCTATCCCATGTTCAAGGTCATGTGGCAGCGGGATTGGATGAGGAACCCCCATCACGTTCACTACACTTCAGCACTGGCGTCGTATTATGTGGACTTCGCGGTCTACGAAGTGCAAGTTCATGAACGCTTACGGAAATGGTGCTTGCATCACGGACTCCCCCTGGACCAGTTCCACGCCCCTCTCATGGAGCACCTACGCAGCCAAGTCCAGCAACATCGGCAGCACGCATCCACCCATCAGCTCCTTACCAAGCATCAGCTCAACATCCTTCATCGACACCTTGGCCAGGACTTTGTATGCCACAACGAAGATCACGACAACCACCACCTCATGTTCTTTTGCCCTCAACTCTACTTCAAAGGCCTCCACAACACCTGGCTTCAGTCCGGCACCTTTGCAGCCACTACACTGAAGCCCGATCAAGCCGGGGCCCTTATTCTTGAGGCAATTCCGCGGCACCTGCAGAAGAGGTACAAATGGGCGTACCGGAAGAAGACCACCTCCATCCCGGTTGGAAAAGTTTTTCTCAAACGCAAGAAGCAATGGAAGTCGGGGCGGACCATTATAGCATACCACAAGGTGGTGCATCGGCTGCTCTTCAAGGCAGTCGCAATCCTTCTCGGCGAGATTGCAGCGGACATGGAAATGTTCATGGGGGATACACCCCACACTGCGGATATGGTAGAACATCAAGCAGTACTTTGACGACACAGACGATACAGTCACCCTTGCCTCCACAACGACGACCTGGTCGGATTCTTCAACAGTGTCCCTCAGGACCAAGTGTGTGCAGCAGTTGAGCAGCTACTAGCCGAGCACCAGCGAGGACGACCCAGTCTCGTGTACTCAGTGGAAACCCAGGCAGCTGCCCGCTACAATCGAGTGTTTGCGGGCAAGCAATCCTACGGACGCACACCGACCACGCGCGTCATTCACATGGAGGACATCCTAGCCATCGTCAAGTCCAGCTTCCAATGCATGTATGTTCAGGTAGGGACCCTCATCATGCGCCAAGTCCATGGTACAGCGATTGGCTCTCAGCTGAGCTCAGTACTCAGCCACATATGCGTCGCGAGGCACGAAGTCATCTGGCAGCGTATCTATGGACAATGTTTCACCAGTCACAACGTCTTTTTGGAGCGATATGTGGACAACAGATTTGTCATCTTCCCTTCTCCAGCCTCAGGTCACCCGGCAGCCCCATTGGAGGCACTGCTCCAGGCTGACTTTTACGGTGCTCCCATCGTGCTGGAACAAGTGGGGTCTTCGGAGTTCCTCGGCTTCGTCATCGATGTGGGCGACCGGGCGATTTACTACAAAACCCCAAGCAAAATCTGGCAGATAAGAGGACCGCGTACTGCGGAAAGCCTCTCCACCCTTCTCTCCGGGGCTAGATCACGGTCAGCCCTCGCCACCAAGTATGCGCACCCAGCCAGAGCAGTACAGATGGCACTGGATCAGCTCCGCAATTTGTCCGCCGGCTACAAGTCAGCTGACCTGCAACACCTGTTTCATCTACCGGCGACCCCAACAAGAAAGAACTTTCAAGCGCCAGTTTTTCGCTGTTTTAGCTGTTTGGCTTTGTGGCTCTCTTTTGTCCCTCTTTTTGACTCTTTCCGGTCTTTTTTTGGCTCGTTTTGGCTTTTGCACTCTTGTGTCCGAGTTTGTCCTTGGCTTTTGTTTCTTGATTTTTGTGTTGACCATGGAGCTCATACACTGGTTCAAACAGTACTAGCATTCCTGCCGACCTTAGAGAGCTGTCGCCATGCTCGGCCGCATGATAGCGCTTCATCACCGTATGACCCAGAACGCTGCTGACATGATGCAGCTCATCCAGGAGACCTTGAACCAAGCTGACGAGGCACACAGTCGCCGGCACCATGACGGGCAAGGTCGCCTGCAGCAACAATATGGTCACGGCCGGTCGCTGGCCGAGTCGTCGCGGCCACCAGCACTTGCTCCAGCTGGAGCCGATGAGATCAACTCACCTGGCCCGATGATGCTGAACTCGGTCAACCCGGCAACTCCGACCGAGTCACACGCAGACCACAGGCGGGACGTGGTGGTCAACCCCAAGTCGTTGTCCTATGGCATCATCGCGGGGGACACCAACGACTCTATAGATCCGCGCTCGAAGAGCCCCATGGTGCACGATTACGTTGGTCAGCCGGGCATCAAGAAGGCCAATATTCCCCGCTCCATCATGGACAAGGGGGGGACCGACGCAGAACAAAGCGGAAGCGATGCCGCGCTACATCCTCCGAGAGGACGAACTCCCCGGAACCTCCAGCGCGTCCAGCACCTCGCACTCCAGCTCCAGCTCCAGTCTCTCCTTGCGCTGGCCTATTCTCCTCTCCTGAATCCCTTCCCGAACCTCCTGCTCATGCTCACTCCGATGCCGGCAACCCAGGAACTCCCCCGGAAATTCCCCCGGAAGTACCTCGTGCCTGGACAGAAGAAGATGACCAGCAGCTTTGCAGCCTGAAAGCGGACAGCCGGTCCAAGTACTCGTACAAGTCGCTGGCCAAGAAGCTCAACCGGTCCATCGCGGACGTCACGCAGCGCTGGAAGAGCCTGGAGCGCCTCAGGAAAGTTCGGGAACAGAATCAGAAGGCCACCTGAACGTAGCCAGTGCAGCCACATGTCAAAATGCCTGCAAATAGGCGAGCACAGGCAGGAGTTAAAAAGTGACCAAATCACCCATCGAGAATCATGATGGAGGCGGCTTTTCGGTTTTTGGGTTTCGGTTTTCGGTTTCTGTCTCTCCCCCTGAGGGGGGTGTGTGTGTGGCCCCCCTGTTCCTAAGGGGTTTCCGCGGTTGTCGTTCTCTCTTTTTGGAGTCTGCCCATGCCAGCAAACCGACCCCCTTTCTCAGTACCTCGTCGCGGTAGTCATGGGCACTGACGAGTAGCCGCGGTGAGCGGACAGATCGGGAAGGTAAGCTGACGAAACTCCGCTTTTCACCTTCCAGTTGCTCGGGGGTGCACATTGTCAGTTTTGCCGTCTCATATCAAGTGTGTGTGTGTGTGTGTGTGTGTGTGTGTGTGTGTGTGTGTGTGTGTGTGTGTGTGTGTGTGTGTGTGTGTGTGTGTGTGTGTGTGTGTGTGTGTGTGTGTGTGTGTGTGTGTGTGTGTGTGTGTGTGTGTGTGTGTGTGTGTGTGTGTGTGTGTGTGTGTGTGTGTGTGTGTGTGTGTGTGTGTGTGTGTGTGTGTGTGTGTGTGTGTGTGTGTGTGTGTGTGTGTGTGTGTCTGTGCTTGTGTATGCTTTTGTGTGTGTGTGTGTTTTGTGTGTGTGTGTGTGTGTGTGTGTCTGTGTCCGTGTCCGTGTCCGTGTCCGTGTCCGTGTCTGTGTCTGTGTCTGTGTCTGTGTCTGTGTCTGTGTCTGTCTGTGTGTGTCTGTGTCTGTCTGTGTGTGTCTGTGTCTGTCTGTGTCTGTGTGTGTGTCTGTGTGTCTGTGTGTGTCTGTGTGTGTCTGTGTGTGTCTGTGTGTGTCTGTGTGTGTCTGTGTGTGTGTGTCTGTGTGTGTCTGTGTGTGTGTCTGTGTGTGTCTGTGTGTGTGTGTGTCTGTGTCTGTGTTTGTGTGTGTGTCTGTGTGTGTGTCTGTGTGTGTCTGTGTGTGTGTCTGTGTGTCTGTGTGTGTGTGGTGTGTGGTGGGTGTGTGTGTGTGCGGGCGTGTTTGTTTTTGAGGGAGCTTTTCGCTTGGCTGTTTTCAGATTGTGCCCTATTTTGACGCACACCCAAATGAGAAAGCCCCCATGGGCGTGTCTCAAAATAGGGGAACCCCCGAAATGGCAACGGTTTTCTTTTGCCTTCCTTCCGCCAGCCAGGTTTCCCCCCCAGACCCAGAGCCCCCCAAAAAAAACATACACAAAAAGACACCCGGGTCGGGTGGATGTTTTAGGCATGACCCATCCTGCACCACTTGGAAACCATGGGGAACCATTGTTCGTTGGTATTTACAGGAGAATCATCATTCTAGGGTTTCTTGGGTGGCGCAGGATTTCGTCCATCCGCAGTATTACTCCCATATTGACGCGCGCGACGCAAGCGGCCGGCAAAGCTTTGCTTCTCCCGGCCGTGCGAGTGACATGCGCTGCGGGGAGTTGAGCTCAGCAACGTTCAGCTCCCAGGAGTTGAAGTCAGCTCTGCTGATCTCGGCCTTAACCCCGAGACCGGTTAAGGCGCCGGGTTCAGGCGCGGTGGCCAAATTGGTGGAGCTGGACCTAAGAAAATTCCCTTAAACATGGGCTATTGCGCCAAAATTACGGGTATTTAATTAATAATTCCAAATTTATTCCGTTGTTGAGGGTCCAGGTAACTTGTTTAAGGACCCAAATGGTAGGTGTTCCTTGCGGTTTCCTTTTGCAAACCATGCCAAGAAAGGGTGCCCTCACAAAAGACGCACCCAAATGGGTGTTCATCAATCATTGTTCAGCGTAGGGTGGGAATCCAGCGATCCGAATCCATAACCCCTGCTTACCTACAAGTGCTATGCCGTGCTGACTGAACAAGGGAGCCTGAACCTCCCTCCAAAACAGGTTTACATCAGTTAGGAGGAATCTGCTCTCGGACCCTTTTTTGGATTGGATGTTGAACTGGGTTGTTCAAAGTGGGGGGTTCCCAATCCTAATCAAGAACATGTACATTGCCGACACCACAAGGACCAAACACCGAACCACCGAATCAGGCATGATTGCTGCATCTGTTTGAACAAGCAGGCCCGGCCCATTGAAAGAAAACCAAAAGGAGAGCATCATTAAACAAGGGGCGGCTGGCCCACCATTCCCTGGACCAAATGCAGCTACCCGCCGTTTGCCGACTAACACTCACATAGATTCCAGCACCTTTCGATCCGTGACCTTTCCAACATACCCTTTGAGCCCCCAGCTGGCTGGTTCAGATCCAGACCCAACGTCAAGAGGTCCCAAGGGCGTATCCAGCACGAGCCGTGCAGGGCGGGCTTTGTGAAGGGGTGGCTGTTTCCTCATGTTTTTGGCGTGGGGAGCGAGCGGGGAGTGAGGTGGAACAAAAAAACAGCCAACACATGTCGACTGAGGGTCAGGTGCCTCCGCATATTAGAACGCTATTCTTCCGGCTTCGAAGGAACCACACAGCGTCTATTAAAATAAGTTAAAAGGCTGCCGGCTTGCGCTTCCCGAGCTCCTTCCTTCACACAACATGCGGTGAGTTACTCCGGGAACAAAGCAAGCATGGGTTCAGACTGGTACGGTTTAACCGGTCAAGCGAGGTCTACCCAGTTTCAGCGCCGATGCTTCAAAGACATATAGAGAGGTCAACATTGATTGAAGCCCTTGGACCTTCTCTCAAGACTGGAACCTTTTGGGATGGCTTTCAGGGAAAGTCAACAATCTACAGTGCTACAGCCAGCTACCTGCAACACCCCCGCACCTGCCGGGCGGGACTCCGGCCAAGCCCCTGAACTTCCAAGCGTGTTCCGTGAATTTCCCGCTGGCTCGAGTATGTGTCAAAGGACCCCAAACATGGAATCCGGTTTTCCTCTTGCTTTCCCTACAATCAGTTTTAACACATGTGCAAAACGTGAGCCAAAAACGGATTCCAGTTGTTTCTTGGGTTTCTGAGAACCCACCCCTTGGATTTTTTGGGGCATCCTGCCACACGAAAAAATCCATCGGCCCCGACTCGCGGCCCACGAGTTTCCGCGCGAGCGCCCTGGGCCCCGTGGCTGGGCCCAGCTCCGTGCCGAGGCTTTCCATCAACAGCCCCAGCTCCGCCTCCTCCGCCTCCAAACGACTAGCCGGCGGACCAGGCGTAGCCGGACCCAGCGGGAGGAATGAATGCTTGGGGATACGCCGAAGAAAAATGCAAAAACTGGACCAGTGATAGATTCCCTTTAAGACGCAAAGGGGTACTCGAACATATCTTCTTATAAGCGAATGGAAGAATGCAATGCTGCAAGGGAACAAACAACCGCTGATTCACCCATTGGTTTTATGGTTTAAGTTGCAGTGTGAAAGTTGGCACCATTCAAACTCATGCTGGTCACTCGTCCCACCCCTTTTTGCCACAAGGGAGTGTGAATCGAGTTTGACCCTGCAAAAGTAGATGCACTCACAGAAGGTGTGTTTTGGAACCCCAGAATCGAGTTTGCCCTGGACGCCCTAAATATAGCAAGTCGTGGAAGAAGGGGAACCCCCCTAACCTACTGTAATTTACAATGCGTTTTGGGCTTGAGCGTCTTCCGTTTACCCGCAACATGTGGGTTTGTCTTACAAGACGGGAGCCTTAAACTTGATGGTGTCCCTTTGTTCCCCTTTAAACACCACACCCATGTGTTTTTTTAAGAACCAACGCACCCGTGTTTTTTTTCTCGGGGCGCCCAGCGTAGCGTAACACGTCCCTCCCGTTGCGCGAGTTTCTCTCCCCGCCTCCAGCTGGCCTTCGCGCCGGTCCAGCGTCAACTCGTGCCTCAGCGCCGCGTGGGTGGCGTAGTCCTGGAGAAAGGTCATGGGACCCGCGCCCAGTTGCCTTAGGCTTGCGACTTGGCGAGCGCAAGCGGCGGTTGAGAATATACAATATATAGATATATAATGCCTATGTATGTACATTTATATGTATATGTATATACATACATACGCATCTACAATTATATTTCTATATATATGTATAGATACATATATGCATCTCTATAACAATGGGCATGACTTTCAAGGGACCCGAGAGGGTGGACATCAAAATTCGGGAGGGATTCATGTCCTCTCGTGAGGTGGCTCTCCATTTCAAATCATTTCTAAATGGTCCTCGGCATACCGAAAGATTTCCACCAAATCGACCCTGTTCGGCTTTATTGGGCGCTGGCAACGCCGCCCCATTGGGATCAGGGTCCAGGGACCCTACCAACTTCTCTGAACCTTGCTTCCCACCTGGCGCTTGGCGAACGCGCGCGATGTGCGCGCGCTTCGGCCCAGATGCTCGAACTCGTCCACCGGGCGCTTGGCGTTGGCGATCAATGTGAGGAGGTCCAGCTTCTGGAGGACCTGACCGCGTCGCGTTCGTCCCCGGCCAGCGGGGCAACACCTCCAGGTTGGAAAACCCACAGGGGCGAAGGGTCCAAAACGAACTGGCAGGGCACTTGGCGTTGTTGATGGGCCAAATTATTCACAAGATGCCTATAGCTTAGGCCCTGGCAACTTGGCCCACCTAGCAAACCTAACCCCCCCCCCCCCCCAAACCCACCCTAAACCAAACCCCTTTACCCTCCCTGCAAATTAACATGAACCTTTCAAGCCGTTTCAAGCCATGACTTTTGGAATCTCCGTTTTGGGAACCCACTTTGTCCAATCGTGCAAGTGGGCGTGCGGGCCTCAAAATGGGCTGGTAGTCTTCCAAAAGCCTCCTGTCTACTTCCATGGAAAGAGGGGAAAAAGGGCGGATAGGGAGATGTGCCCAACTGGGGAACATCCTTTCCGTTGGTCAAACACCCGCCCCTGGCCTTAATACCGCAACTTAGGTTCTTACAAGAATAGACCTCCATACCTTCAGCAAGAAACCAGCCCAAACAAACCAAAATAAGTTTTCCCTGCAAATTCACATGGAGCCCCACGACCCATCCATTTTAGAGGCACCGCCCTTCCGTCCTTCCGCCAAAAATGCGCGCGGCCCCTGTGCCCGGTGCCCCACCTTGGACAAGAGCTGCACCTCGTGCGAGAAGCGGTTCTTCAGATCCACGGGCTCCTCGTGCCACTTGCTGCTGTAGTCCTGAGATCAACTTATCAAACTTGGATAGGCGAAAACTCACCAACTTGTCAACTCCAGTGGTTTAAAGAAGTTGGAACCAACTTTTTGTGCGGTCTATTTTAGTAGCGGAACCCTCCCCCTGGAAAAGGTAAAAGGGCTCTACTGGGGGACCTTGACTCACTTCCTGAGTAGATTGGCCAACAAAAATCACCGATCTACCACTAAAATGGACTTCCATTAAAGAATTAGTCCAGGGACTCAGGGAGTGAGAGAACCGCACAACTTCACAAGTGAACCTGGGTGTCAAGCTTAGTTTCAGCAAACCACCCCCAAAACCGCAGAAGCATGTGTTTGCGGTAGTTCCCAGCATTTGGGGTACCCCTGGTCTGTTGATACGTTTATCTGTGCCTCCTTTGAAGCAAAGCATCCAAAAAGAGGGCCTCAGGCGTCCAAAGGATCCATGCAAGTTGTGGACGTGCAAGGTAGCAAGAAAAGCAATGAGGCTTCAAGTGGGCAACGCACCCACAAGGTCCCAATCAACTTGTTGAAAGTGCAAATGCTGTAAGTACTGTAGGTAGTCTAATCACCCATCACAAATGCCGAAGAAGGGCTGTCTCTACTCGTACGCTCCCGGGCTCTACTGGACATGCTTCTGGTGCAGGATGGTCCAACGAGTCGGTTTCCGCAGTACTTTCGGCGAGAACGGCTGAGCTTTCTTTTCTTTGGCAAAATTCCATGCCATAGGGAGGAGTACATAGGTTTGTTTCAAAATACTGTGGATGGACGAAATCCTGCACCACTTGGAAGCCCGGAGAAATCATTGTTTGTTGGTATTTACAGGGCTTCTTCGGTGCAGTCATTCCCTTACCGACCGCTGGTTTTGTGGGACAGCACGTTGAGTCCGAGGAGCTTGCGAAAGGGCAGCCCTTTATGATTATACGTTCACTTCAAACCTGCACGGCAGTTTTCCGGGGAGGGCAAGGGGGACTCCGTTTGTTTTTTTGTGCTTGTATGGCTTCTTCTTTAAACAAAGAAAAAAGCAATATATATGTATATATATATATATAACTATTTAAAAGGGGCCCACCCCCTCCAAAAAAAAGGCTGACACTAGGATTTGGTGCGTCTTGTTTTCAGGGTGCCTTTCTTTGTGTGGCAGGGATTTCCGAGGAAAACCCAGCCATGTTGGGGGGTCCCCTTTTGTAAAACACATTGGCACCCACAGGTTTGGCTGCTCTCCTTCACGAAGTAGATGGCCATCTGCTCCACGGCTTCGAATATTTGGATGGCTGTGGAGTGCACGATGTCCAGCAGGCTCTCAATGGGTGACAGGACCTCGTTTTGGGATGGCCACACGGGCATGGGCCGCATGGTGTGGAAAATAACAATTTCGGTGATGCGACAGTGACTGATTCCCACTACTTTCTCGCCTGAAGCGGTTCTGAACCTACACCCCTCCATTTCCACAATCATGGGGGTGGGCGTTTCTTTCGGAAAACGGCCCTTTTCGAGGTGTCCCATTCTTAAACCCCAAGCCGCGGCCAAAATCCAATCTTCTGGAGGGAGTGCTGTTGGCAAACAGCGGCACACAATTGCTTGTTTGGCTTGTTGGGCATTGATGTTCTTGGCAACCAAGGGCAGTCCAGAGAATCAAACGCCAGTTGTGCGTGGTCGCCAACTGGTCGGCAACATGAATGCAAGGGGAAAAGCAACAACACCAAAAACAAGAAACACTTGCTGCTGCCGGCTCGGTGGACCGTGTGGGACACTGCAGAGGACACGCCGCCAGCAGCGATGAGGATTGTAAGAATCACCACCGTCATGAGGATTACCTCGCTTGTAACAAGTACAAGACTCAAAATGAGAAAAGTGACAACCACAATTTCAGGAGGATTGTTTTCTTTGGTGGTGGGTGGGGGGAGGGGTTGAAACAACACATGAATACTCACTATTGCATTGCTTGAGATTATATCATAATGGAGACCCCCGTGACAAAACCAGGTGGTTTCCCAACAGGGGCAATGCTGGCAAAAACGGACCTCCAGGAGCGCAGCGTTCCCAACTTCTGAGGCCGTACTTGCGGGAAACGGGTCAAATTACATCTGTACAAGGCCCTCCCGATAACATAACACCAGTGGGAGGGTACCTTCAAGACCGATTTCCTCTTCAGGGCACCCTCGATCTATCAGATGCGACCTTAGTGCGAGGGAGGGCGCCTGAACCTTTCAGAAGAGAAAAAGACTCGCTTTTAACATCAATCGGAGTCACGTTCAGCATCGCCTCGGCCAAGTTTGGAGAACGGAAGTTGAACTTGACGATGGTGTCTTCCTTCTGCATGACAAGGACGTCTTCTTGCCGCATTGGTGCCTTCAGGAACGTGGCGAGAAAACGGGCCAGCAAAATGTGACACATACTTTATGGAGTGGAAGTTCTAAATCAAGCCTTGTTCTTCTTGCTTGCAAGCAAGCTACACGCACGCACATGTTTTTGGGTTTATTCCTATTTTTTGTTGGGGAGGGGCAGCCTTTTTGGACTACCTTTAAAGGGAAACCAAAAGGAAACAAGACGTTTTGGAGATCTCCTCCTTTTGAGAAAAGCCCGTTTTCTCGCAAACCAAACAAACAAAATGACTACTGATCCCCCCTCCAGTCAGAAGGGGCACCTGGGAATTCTCGATTTCGATAATGACCTGGGTCATGTTCGCGTAGTGGAAGGTAGCCTGGAATGGGAAATACGCCAGGATCTGGTAAAACTCCCGCATTTTCTCCACTTGGAAGGCGGTATCATCTGGAAAGTTTTTGGAACTCCAGTAGACTTGGGCCGTCCAACTCTGCAGGGAGTTGTCGTCCGGCGGGTATCTGAAAAAGTCGATCACTGGCAGCGTTATCACCAGCACGATGATGAGCAGGGCCACCTTGATGGACCTCAAAAGGCAGGTTCTTCAACCAGAATATAATTATTGTTTGGATGGTCAATCGGGGGACTTCTGCTTTGCAAGTTGAATCCACAGCTTCGAGGTCCAACCAAAGGTAGTCATTGTAAGTGGCTGCGTCATGAACTCAAAATAAACACCAAGGAAAATAACAACATATACTGGGGCTAGCCCAGAGTAACCCCCTTAAAAGCTGGTTTGTGCGGGACCTCCTCGGGTCTCCCAAGCGGTACACTGGGCTGCTCAATGGCGGCTTGGCCAATCCTAGCCCCTGCCTAGAAAGCAACTACAAAAGGGATCCTGCCCGTAACCTCAGATAGGAGGGATTGCCTTTGACCAAAAGAAACAAAACACAGTTCATACATACATATATACATCTATAATAGTTTATTGTTTATGTTGTTCTTTCTTTTTTTTTTAAAAAAAAAGACACATATATATATATACACATATATCTCTATCTATCTATCTATCTATCTATCTAGCTACCTAGCTACCTAGCTACCTACCTACCTATCTTTCTATCTATCTATCTATCTATCTATCTATCTATCTATATGTGTGTCTTACTTTCCCCGGCACAAGCTGAAAGTCGCGTTTTGTTGGCCGGTCAGTAAGGAGCCAAGTGACAAGTTGGCCATGAGCTCCACTGAGATGCCCTTGGCGGGGCCTTGCTTGTGATCCTCCAAGTCGCCCTTCCTCGTGCACAGAGGGACACGCGACAACGGGGAACCACCCAACTCACCAACCAACCAACGAACAAACAAACCAACCAGTCAGCCAAACAAACAAAGACACAAGCAAACAAACAAAGCTGGGCGTTCTGAGGGTACAGGGCTTGCTAAAATCGAAAGCAATAGGAGATTTACCATTTTTCGGCGTCCTCCATCTGAACCCACACCCATATGCACATTGTTTATCGGAACGCCTAAGAAAAGGACCTCATCGTGAGCGGATGTTCGGTCAGCTCGCCGTATCGGCCGATATCATTCGGTCAGGCGGTGTCCCTATTTCTTTGAGCAACGGGATCCACCCATCCAGCTGATATAACACACAACGGATGGATTTCCCATGGATTTCCCATGGATTTCCCAGTTGCCCCAGCTGACCAGTGAACAACAAGGTGAAAAACAATGACCGGAGGGAAGTCCCATTTTAGAGATCATTTTGGCGGATCCCGACTCAGTGGGGCCTGAGCAACTAGATCTTTGGTGCGACGTCAGCCCATAGTTGCTTGAACCTTGCGGGCATCCTGGTGTCATTGTCAGCCTGGATTCAAGCACCTAAAACAAGGCTCCTTCAAGGATACATCCCAGAAACGCAAAACATCTGCCAATTCTACTATGCCTACTCAAATTTCAAAATAATCAATCCCCAAGTAACCATGTAATGCCCCGGGCAGTTGTTGGCATAGTTGATGTTACCCGTTGATGGCATTTGATTCGAAAATGACACCCTCTCCCAGCTTGGACGTTCAAACAACTTAGATAACTTAGTAAGTGGGCTATAAGCATGGAAAATAAGACGACCAACCCCAGTTACCCAAGTTATAACCATGGCTATCACCTACTTCCTAAGTTGGTTGGTGCTCAGCAAGGAATGAGGGAATGAACCCCATAGACCATCCAACAGGTTCCATGAAGGGAATCAGGTTCATTCCATTTCTCATTCCCTATCGCACCAGACGCCAACAAGTTGGAGCCACGGTTTTGTTTTTTGCGGTTAGCGTCGAGGGCAGAAACCGCAGCAGCTTCGCGAGGCGCGAGAGGCGGACAGCTCTGGCGCTGAGCTTCGCGAATTTGGTGACCCGGGCCTCGAGAGCGGAGACGGACCGTTCTGGGCTGTGGAGTTGGCCATCTGCGCAATCGAAACCTGGTATTAAAATGGTCGCAGAACCAGGAACTAACCTTCATCTACCGGTTTTGATTGTGGCTCGTCTACAGAAATGGTTGACCCAGAACTATGTACGGAAATACGAAGGCGGTCGCAACTATCTATGGCTGGGGTTGTCCCTTACTAACTCCTTCATTTACCGGTTTTGATTGTGGCTTGTCTAGGCTACAGAAAATTCGCCTCTAACATGAGGCAACGTGGGAGAGAGGCTAAGATATTCTGATTCTGTTTCGTATACCTTCCCATTTAACCTGGAACCCGACAAATTAGATCCTGACAAGGACCTCCTAACATGACGCACCTTAGGGTACCTGGAAGATCAGCCTCTTGAAGGGACCCTCTGTGAGCAAAATATTCGGTCTCGGTTGCTTTCTGCTCCCCTGCTAAAAGTTTAACTTTTAGCGGTTTAGTGGAAAACCCATTAGGTGGCAAAAAGTTCTCAAGTCCTAACAGCCAAGCAAAATGCACCAAAGGGGTTGTGTTGCACATGGTTGACTCCAAGATGTAAACAATAGCTTTGGAGACCCCAGCTTCCGGCCAACTGCAAGGGACTAATGGAAGCCAACTGCAAGGGACTAAAAGGAACAGTCAAAGCGAATCACGTTGGACTGCGCATGGGTTGATTCTAGAATACCGTTTGGATGTGGCCTTTGTGGATTTACCCCTAAATATGAAAAGAGTACTAAAAGAACAGGACCAACAGCGGGCAGAAAAACATCATCTCTGGCACCTCAACCCCGTTTCCCTCTCAACCTCCGTGAAGTTCCTCCTTTGGGGGGAAGGGGAAATCACCTTTTGGAACCAGTTCAAGGTGAGTTGCCTCTGGTTGGAGCTGAAGCCACTCACCAATTAAGTTTATCCTTTTGAGGGTACTGGCATCCTCTGCTTTGAACGGGAAATCAAAGGGAAGCCACCAGTGTTTTGTTTGAACCCCAAAGTACCTCCCTAACCCAATTTGGCCGCCTGCATAGTGGTTTGCTTTTTTTTGGGAGGGGGGTTCCCAAACAAAGAAAAAGGGAAGCCACCGGTGGTTTGCTCTCTTCTCTTTGGGGGGCGGATTCCCAAAAAATGAAAAACGCCCAATTGGCATGGTTTGAGTTGCCTGGCTTGCTCTCTCTTTCTTTCTTTCTTTTTTTTGGGGCTTTCCCAAACAAATAGGAAGAAGGGAAGCCAATGAGTGGTTTGCTCTCTTTTCCTGCTGGGGGGGGGTCCCAATTGCCCTGCCCTTCGTCGCGAATCGGTGGCCCACGTCGTTCCCGTCAAGCGGCCAGGCCGGAGGTCTCAAAGGCGTCCACGAAGCTGTCGGCGATCAGGGAGTGGTCCAAAGGAACCGACAGCCTCACCCGATCCGCAGCGGCTTTGTGGCACCCGTTTTTGAGGCCCAAACGCCTGCTTTTTGTTGTTGGTTTGGCCAGGTCTAAACTTGTTCAATTGAACAAAGTACATCGTTCGAGCCTAGAGGTACAGGTATCCCCTTTTCGGGCAATTATGTTTGAAGGGCCCAGCTACTTTGAAGCCCGGGGAAATGTCAACCCCAGTTTGGCGGGGTTATCGCAGGGTTAGCCCCGAAAGTAGGGAATACTCCGGCTTATTTTAGTTTCACAGGGGGTGTCCCCGGGATTGGGGGTGAACCATCATCTTTGGTGGAAGGGTTCTACTCAGATCCGTGGTCAACATTCTACTCAGAAATCCTGAATGAAATCCGAGCCAACAGCAGCCAACCCAACAAACTGTTAAAGGCAGAAGGTTGCATGGCTGGTTGTCCCTTGCTATGTTGTGCTTTTTTGGAAGGAAAAGAATGGGGAAAGCTGCCCGTACCATGATTGACATATTTGAAACAACCAAATTTGCGCAAAGAACCAGCTCGTGGTGTCCCTGAGTGCATGGACCGAGCTTTCTTCAGTCACGTTCCAAGACCAAAACGTGCTACGGCTTCGGCTCCTCACTAGCAACGGCGAAACAAACTGGGCCCTTGCTCAAGGGGATGGGTTTTGGCTAATTCGCTCCAGTTGCAACCGGTGACTCGAAAGGTTGCAAACGAATTGGGAACCTATTCTTTTCGCAGGTGGCCATGTGGAGCGGGGAAGCCACCGAACCAAAAGCAGAAAGGGTACCACTGAACAACTGGGAGTGAGTCCGCTATTGGTTCCCGGTACTCGCCGGCCGGTTTCTGGCGGTTACATTGTCCATTCATCTGCGGAGAACTCTACGCTGCCCCAGAGGAGCTGGAACTGGCAGCGTTCACATGTGTTCAGCAGTCATCAGCTTGTCTAATAGTTGGTGGTTTGGATTTGTGGCTTGGAGGTCAGTGTTGGTTTCCCACCCAAGGCTTCCCTGTTGAGTTGTGCTGCACGAGGAAAAGCTGACTATGTCATCAGCTTCTGGACTTTTGTATTCCCCCAACAGCTGCGGGAGAATGACTCAAAAACGGATGTTCCTCACATCCTGGGTCGATTGGTCAAACAAATCCAAACCGTTTCCTTGCCCCGAGAATAGCCTTCCCAAGTGGTATAACGTCCAACTGCCTCACTAAATGAGTTTCAACGTGCCAAAGACGAGGCAAAACGCGGCGTGTTGCGCGCTGATACTGCGTTGGTATTTGCAGGGGGGTCATCCAGGGTTTTTTAGGTGGTGCGAAATGGATTTCGTCCATCCACAGTAGGAACCTCGCCCACTTGCAGCGGAGTAGCATGCCGATGCCATCCGTCCAAAAGGCGTAGCTGCCCGCATAGCTTTCCCCATGGGCAACGAGGTTGGCCAGAAACTCGGCCAGGAAGAGGCAAAATATCCTGGGCTTCTCGATCCCGTACACCTACGGGTACCTTCCATGTCCATTCTTTCCAGGGATCCTTAACAACCCTCCGGAAATTTGAGGCAAACGGCTGGTGGAAAAGAACCATGCTTGAAAAAAAATGGGAACTGACCGACACAGGCCAAACTTTGAGTGGGGCATATCATAAAAGCCTCAAACTCAAGCCCAAAAGACTCACAGGCCCTGGCTGGGATCCGAGGATCATGACCAGGGCGTTGTCCAGGCCTCCGTTCCCCTGCATCGCCAGAATCACCCAAAAGTCCGGGAGGAAAAGAGCCAGCACCAGGTTCGTTGTCATAATGGCCTGTGTTTGGTTTTGCGCCGCCCAAAAAAAAACGCACCTGAAGAAATCGCCAACTGCACGCCGTGGGCACGCTCAAGTTCATAGTCACTTCTTCAGTACTTAAGGAGGTGCCCGGCAAAAAAAGTAAGTGGTTAGCAATTGCTTGGGGGTGAAGAATTGCCCGCCCTAACGGACTGACTGACTGACTGGCTGGCTGGCTGCCTGCCTGGCTGACTGACTAGCTCAGACAATGACTGACTGACTCACTGACTGACTGACTCACTGACTCCCTGGCTGACGGACTGACTGACTGACTAATTGGCTTGGCTGACTTGACTTGACTTGACTTAACTTGGCTTGACTGACTGGCTGACTGACTGCTTGGCTGACTGACTGACCGACCGACCGACCGACTAACTGAGTGACTGACTGACTGGTTCACTTACCAGATAAAACGATTATAATAGATGCTCATATGTGCGCAGATCGAAGTCTTGCTTTCCACGCAATCAGTGGTTTTCTTTTGGGTTCCCTATAAAACCACAGAAATGGGGTAGGCCCCAAGATGATTCAAGGGATTCAACTCCTTGAATACAGTGGGGCGGCACCCCGGCAAAGCATGATCAAAACTCCAGATTGACGTGCAAGGCGGAAGGACAATCGACAATGCACTTCTCGCGGACCGCAACAATAACATTCCCCATGCATGGAAACCAAAAAGCAGAAACGCAAGAAACCAACGAGCGCCCCAGAACTATAGAATGTTTAAACCGGATTAATAAACAGAAAGGACGGTGTGGGGCGCACTATTTTGCACATGTTTCTGGGTACTCTGGGGCAAGATATCAAGAAACAAGACAACCAACAAACATGCAGAGTACACGCCCCATGCCTCTTTGGGTCTGCAATCTTGCGCTCTTCTCGATAACATGTACAGAACAAAAAACAACAACAAAAACACAACAACAAACAAGACAGATTGCATGCCCCATACTCCCCCAGCAGCCCCCCCATCTGCAATATTGTTGTGTTTGTTTTATTAGTGTATTCTCGAGCTTGTTTCTATCTTTTGAATGCGAATTCAGTTTGCTAATCTTTGGTTACAAATCTCAAAAACATAATAATGAACCATATCAAGCATATTGTGTGCTTATCGAAGGCTAAAGTGTCAATATGACTTCCTTTGCAAATACGGATTGAATTAAAGTTTAACCAGACTTCAATTGGACATGTAACAACGAAAGCACACCTTCTTGTTTCATCTACTTGGCCAGATCCTTAAACTCAGTGAGCAGCCAATAGAAGCTTAAGGAACATGCAGTTTCAGTTCTATTGGGGTCCAAGGCTTGAACTGCAAGGCATACGTATGGAAGTCTACATGTGATGTCAATTAGAACATATTACTAGAAACTCCTTTCCGCACACATTTATGTTTACATTTTGTTGAACTGTAGCTTGGATTTAAACGTGAATAGTAACAGACCTGAAATTGTATTTCCCGTGCGCTTCTATCGCTTCTATTGGGGTCACCCTTTTTGAAGAAACAGTCCGATTAAAAGATACAACAAGACTCTCGTGACTTCAACCAACACCCTATTTGGAAAGGAAGCCGTATTGAAACTGCAACTTTAGCTTAAGATAGAAACTCTACTTGATTTGTCCTTACTATTTCTCATTTAAACTCTACTCACACGTTCATGAAGCTTTAGAACGGAATTTCCGTCCAAACAATTTAACATACTCAGTATACCAGAAGAGACACAGAACCAAGACAAGAACTCAACCTCTATGAAGTCGGCTGGCCGGCCACCACGGAGCTTTCGGAAGTGAACTAGGACTTTGGACTTTGAGATGTGGCTGTGCCTCAAACTTAGGCACCCAAAATGGCACTGAAAGGCAAATGGAACTTTGAAGACAAACACCTGCATAACTTCAGCTCGTTCAATTTTGAGCCACACCCATGTGGGTAAATCTGTGTCATACAGAAACAGATGGGTAGCCAGAGACCAATACTTCACACAGCAAGACATGTACAAACAAACGCGCTCCCACCGCTCTCTTTTTTCATCTCTGGTGGATGTTGGTTGAGGGTACCCCGTTTCGTGCGAAGCCCTCACTTTCTGGGTGACACCCCCTATAAACAGCATGGGCATGTTATTTCGGGATGCCCATGGAACATGAAAGTAATCCAGCCTCTTAGGCCCCCTCAAAGGCTTCAAACACAAGACGGTTTCTGACAATGGTATACCTCCTTTGTGCATTTACTCGAAGGGAAGCCAAGAGAAAACCAACTGATCCCATTCCATTTGGGTCTGTCTTTTCTTGAGGGTGCCCTTTTTGGGATTGGCTTCAACAAAAACCAACCGGTGTTTGTTTGTTTGATTTCTTTCTTCTTCCGCTTTTGGGGGGGTGGGGTTCCCTTAAAAAAGACACAGAGGCCCACTCTGAGAAACAGAGGTGTTTCGTTCAAAATGCCAAGGCCTGGAGCACGGGATTGCTCAGGACGATCTTCAGCTGGAAGCGAAAGATGGTCAAACAGTTCTCCTACGCAGCGAAGCCACGGGACTGTGAAGCCCGTCGACCAAAGGGATGGACAGCTGCTGGGGTTTCTCCGCGACAGCTTCATTTGGATACTCCAAGCGCCAGCGAGTTTCTGGGCTTCCTTTTGCCCTCCACGGGGAAGCGACCGTCCCAAACCACCGGTTGGTCAAAAGCGCGCATTACGGATGAGTTTCAACCCCGTTTCCACCCGACCCTTCCTGGGTGAGCTTCCACCCCAGCCAATCGGCTACTCAAAGGGCAGGGTACTTAGTAAGTGGTTAGTGGCCATGGTCATGACCCACTTTGGCGACTTGTAACCATAGTCAATGGTAAATGGATTATAACCATGGTTACGAACCGATTACTAAGTACCCAGCCCCTTTAAGTGCTCATCGTGAGTGGCGGTAACTCAAGCAATGACCAACGCAGGGCACTTATAGCAGGAGTAAATGAGGTTCCCTAACCAACCCAGTAGCTAGACTCCCGGACTAGTCAATCAGAATAGAGGTGAATTCGGTTCAAGTCGGCAGTGTTTGACCCCATTAAGAATCATTAGGTATTGAGGGGCCCTTTTAAGAACCCCAGACTGGCACTGAAAGCTATTGAGACATTGGAGCAATGAGACTTGGTAACTATGAAACCTCTTTTTGCTTGGCCGTCTTCGATCCAATCGCAAGATGAGCATGCCAGCCAACCATCTTTGATTCGTAGGGCAAGCCCCCCTCTGCGCAAAAGGCTTAACTTCCCGCTGGCGAGTGGTTGAAAACACTCATGACTCATGCCCCCAAAAAGTTACAGGCCAATGGGCCAAGGAGCAGCCAAGTTCCACCAACGGTTTTTGTTGGACCTTGCCCTGCAAGTCTGACCAATTTCCTCGGGTAAGCCTTTGGTCTGCCAACGTTTGGAGAAATCCTTTGGGCTTCCGTTTCGTTCTCCGATGTTTCCCTTTACAACCCCAAGGGCACCAAGACTCGACCAAAAAAACACTCCCGCGCTGGACGGGTTGTAATAAGCGGGTTCCGCTCGCTTGCGCCAAAGGGCAATTAATTGGACACCAATAGGAAACCCTCCATCTTCTTAGATTCTTGCTATTTCTTGCTGGTTCTCAACAGGGAATGAGTTGGAATGACCCCCATACCTCATCCCCTATGGCTTCCTTTCAATAAATCTTCGGATCCGGTTCTTTCCCAAAACCGTGGATTCGTTGTCATTCCAAGTTTTGGGGGGCACATACCCATCTGACGCCCAACCGTACCCTGCTCATGTTGGTTGAATGGAAAACCAACCAGCGAAACCCACCATTTTGCGGGGCACATACTCAAAGGGGCAGGGCACTCAGAAAGTGGTTAGTAACCATCGTCTTAACCCACTTTGGAGACTTACAACCATGGTAAGCGGGTTAACCATGGCTACTGACCATTTACTCAGTAGAGAGGTTTGAATGAGGGTTCCTTTTTTTCTGTAGTCTAACCCTCCCCCTAAAAAAGAAACGATAAAAGGGCACGTAGCTGGGGCACCTAGTACGAAGTGCCCTGCCTGCCCCTCTAAGTACCCCATCCGACGCCCCAGGTCCTCTCCATGGTACTCCGGCACAGAGGCCCTCTGGGGCACGTCTTCCACCGATTTCCCGGTGGTGAGCCACTGGGCGTGCTCCATGCCCCGCTCGGTCCATGGGGGCTCCTCCTGCGTGGCGCTTCAGGGCTCTTTTGGTGTTTCTGTCCAGTGCAAGAGGATATTTCTTGAAAACCATGGAACTTTGACTATGGCACATGCGTCTTTTTGGGGGTGGGGGGTCCCCGCGTTTGGTGGATTGGTGGACTCTTAGGAACTTTTTTTCGCAGGCCCGAACCCTCGAAAGCCAGTACCTGAAGAAGATGATAAGCAGTTGCAAACGCACCCGCCCCTCCCCCCAACAAAGAAGAACGCAGTCGAACCATTCTATAATATGAACCAATCACCAAAGAAATTCCGAGCCACAAGTACTTGCCTTCCAGTCACATAGGTCCCTGGCGAGCACTTGATCCACCCCAAGTGCTCTCTTGAACCCAACTTTTCGAGCGTTCCCAGTTCACCTTTAAGTGAACATCTCCCTGGGCTCTATCAATTCAATCTGGATACCGATCTAGCGAGACACCCTCGGATCCATCCTTAAAGGGCTTCATCTTGAGGTGGGCGCTGCGGGAACGCTCCAGCTCCATGATGTAGCCCTCCAAGCAAGCCACAATGTCCTGCCGAACGTGGGATGGCAGGTTACGCGACGTGATGTTGGCGAAAAAGGCTAGTCAAGCTTGTTTGGACGCAGTACCACCTAGGGTTGCTGCGCACATGTGCAAAGCACATGCACAATTGCCAAGTTCACCATGGATTGCGGACGGAGTAAACACAAGTGCACGTTTGGCGAGTTCCCATTGGCGCCGCATTTGTTGGGCGCATATCGCGGCATGCATCAAGAACTTCATTATCAAAGAACGACCGTCAAGTCAATCTGTCTCTTTGGGGCGCTCGTTGGAAAATGCGGACCGAACACAGAATCCCGGTTGCTTTCTGCTCCCCTGCTATAAGTTTCACTTTTAGTGGTTTAATTGAAAACCCCTTTAGCTGGCAAAAGTGAAATGCCTGATGTCCAAGCAAAATGCACCAAAGGAATGGTTCTCCAGTCGGTTCCCTCCAACATGTTTGAACCAAGTCAATGCCACCCACCGCAGGAACTCAACCAAATCGTCTGGAGCTATCCTTGTGCTCAGTAGGAACGTGAGAATGCAAATAGTGGTACCCACAACAAAAACTTATAAGGGATGGCTCATAGTGGTCATTCCCTCATGCCCTGCTGAGCACCAGCTCAGCAGCAAGTAGCTAGAACTCACACGCTCAAACCTACCACCAGAAAGAATGCAAGGTAGAAACTCCCCTCTCTGCATAGCCGCTCACAATCATGCAGCGTCAAGGTCGTTGGCCCATTCACTGAGCCTGGTGTGAAAAACCACCCGGGGCACGCGCAAAAACGGAATATGGTTGACCCAAAGCCGTGTCAAGAGCCAAAAGGGCGGCCACAGACCTATTCGGGTGCATCAATTTATGCATTCTATGTGGTGGTTGTAAAGAGAAACCCATCGGTTGGGGTGTGTCTTTTTACAAACTCTGTGGAGCGTGTCATTGTTTAAATACCCTTTGCTTGGTTGGGTGTGTCTTCTGTAGACCCTTTGTGTGGCGCTTGTAAAACGAAACCGATCCTCGGGTGTCTTTTTACAAATCAATTGTGGCGCTCCCCCAAAAACCGCCACCATGGCCGTGGAAAAGCCTTCCCCCCACTCTCCGGCGCTCGCTACCGAGCGCTCCCATCCTCGTCCCCGCGCTCGGTCGCGATCTCCCAGCAGCTGAGGCCCTGCTCGTTCTTGGCAAAGGGGTTGGCCCCCCCGTTGATCAGCTCCTTGGCTCCGAGCTTGCGGAGAACTTTCGGAGATCTGGACCCGCCAAGCTCGGGGGGAGACCCAATTTCTTGGATGGGTTTCAGAAACTGGTGGCTTTGGGCTTGTGCCCGTCAGGTTGGGGGGATTGGAGGTCTGGGTTTGTGGCTCGAACCCTGGCTTTTGCAGATGGTGAATGGGACCTTCACCACCAAACCACCAATGCAAATTGGAGGTAAGCTGAAAAATGAAGCTCGCCGAAGGCACCAAAAACCCGACAAAATTGATGCAGCTCACATCAGCTCACCGAATGCCAAAATAACCGCAAAACTGTTTTGGAAGTTGCCGACTCAACGGGAACAGACTCTGAACAACATTGAAACAAGGACAAATCAGGTGTGTTGGGCCTTGACTAAAAGGAGAAGGCTTAACAATTAACAACAAGTGCACAAAACAATTTGACACATGCAAACTTCAAAAAAGTCCACCAAGTCAACTGAAAAGGCTCCCTCACCACCCGGTAGCTCTTGACAGCCACTGCGTAGACCAAGCCGTCTGCCACTGCCTCAGTTGAAGCTACCAGCGCAAAAATAAATTGGTTGGAAAGGGGCACTGCTACAACATGAACGTTCACGCGTTTAGACAACTTGTTTGCGACATGTCTAGTCGCCAGTACATATATGCAATCTGCTTACAAACCTATTTAGAGTTACTCTCCCTCCAAAAGGAAAAAACAAAACAATTGAACTTTGAACCCCCAAGACTGCCAGCTTTAGAGGACACTTCTTTTAGGCACCCCACTTGTTGGTTCCAACAGCCTCCGAAGCTGACAGAAGGGTTCTGAACAGCCATTCTCTTTTTGAGGAGGCCACCCTGTCCTGTTGCGGGGGTATGGCTTGCAGCATGCTGAGCCGCCAGTCACTTGCACGTGTCCGATAGTCGTGAATTTTGACCTCAACAAGATACCGGCCTGCCTGGCGAGTCTTAGCTCAAAGGGCCGCCTCTGAATTCGAGTGAATTAGCTATGGCAAGGCATATATCATCTCAGCAACTGCAACAATCCTACAAAGTCTATCCGTTGCCGAGTGCAGCAAACCTCATCTAGAGGGTGCCTAAACGAGGGATTTACACATTATTCACAAGGACATATGGAAAAGCCGAAATCAGTTCAATGGAGTTGCCAGGTACTTTAAAACCCAAAAAACAATAGTTAGGCGCAGATGTTAGTCCGCTGCATCCCTCTATCAAGGGACGTGGATTTTAGCCCCTGACATGAGACAACCCACTGTCTGGAAGAAACTCCGTTTGGGGACTCCTGCCACGCAGGTCTTTTTGCAGGAAAGACGCCCCGGACAACAAACAACCAACAATAAACGCCAACAACAAATAATAATGTTGCAGGAAAGACGACCCGAAAAACAACAAAACTTGTTTTTGCAGGAAAGACGACCCGGAAAAAAAGAAGAAGCCGAAAACACAAGGAGCCGAGCAGCTCCCAATTCCAAGAGCCGTGTGGTGGCGAGGTTGTTGCTCTGCAAGACCGCCTCCGCCATCGGCGTTCGGCTGCCTGTGATAAGAAACGGCAAGCAGCCAGATGCAGCCGAAAAAGACAAGCATTCCACAAGTTGTCAAGAGGGCGCCTGAAACTTGTGTATCTTGCGTGGCTCCGTAAAATTTGGAGCGAACATATGAACCATGTTGACACTTGACTCCTTAAGGGTCCTCGTTCTGCAAGAAAGCAATCCCCACTAGATGGCACCCCCGGGCTTGTTAATCAACATTTGTGGGAGGGTACTCCCCGCCAGGTGCTACGATCCACGCCAAGCACCAGTTGGTAGGCGTCTTTTTTGCAACCCAAGTGGTACAAAGTGGATTCCGTCCATAAAATGGATTCAGAAAACCCATGAGGCTAAAAAAAATGGTTCAGAGGTTCAGAAAAGATAAAACAAAAACAAACAAAAAACCCAAACACGGATCACCGTGTGCGCCTCCGTTGTCCAAATCGCCCCCGTGGTTTTCCAGCGTCTCCACCAGCTCAGCGCTCCGCTCACTCCGCTCAGTGAGCACCGCATAGGCGTCCGCCCCCTCGGTGTCCTAAAGGCCAAGCCCTTTGAGTCATACTCAAAACATCTGACCACACACATCTGGAAGGTTTGAGAGGAAGGTTTGACCACACATCTGGAAGGTTTGAGAGGAAGGTTTGACCACACATCTGGAAGGTTTGAGAGGAAGGTTTGACCACACATCTGGACGTTTGAGTCATAATCAAAGCCCGGTATCAAAATGGCCCTAGTCCCAGAACCACGCTTCAAGACTTAAGAAGGCGGATATCCGCAACGATTTTTATGGTTGGGATTGTCCCTTACTAACCGGATCATCTACCCGGGTTTTTCTTGTGGCTCACTTGCTGTGGGTGGCTTTTCCCCAGGAAGAAAGGGGGTACCCTCTCGTCCTCTAACCTGGAACCTCACAGAGGAGGGAGCGATCATGCCCAAAACCCTGAACATTGCCTACTGAGCACCAGCAAGTTAAGCATGTTTAAACGCCACTGTCACCCCCAAATCTGTACCGAAGACCAATCGTGCGCACATATATGATTGTATTTGTTCCATATACAAATGCAAAACTAAAATCATTACTGTTTAAACCACCTCCTGTTAAGTTCCTTTTGGAGGAAAGTTCCTTTTAACCTGCAAAGGAAAACAACAAGACACGTTGTGGTGCAAAACAACTCATTGAGGGAGGCCAGGGTCGGTTTCCCTGGCGTCCTCGGTGTGCAAGGACACGGCGTAGCGGATTGCCGTCTTGCTGTAGTCGTCCTCCGCCTGAAGCGATGAAGCGAGAGGTCCCTTTGCGGGTTCACGCGGGGGTGGCGGTGAGGTGTGGAGATGTGGGGACATATGGGGAGATGTAGTTAGATGTGAGGAGGGATGCCTAGCTCAGGGCCCGGCGAACGAACAGGGCCAACATTGTAATTACAAAATCCGTTGCGACCTGCAGATGGGTTGCACTCACGCCCCATGCTTTCTACATGCCATCTTGTCAAGGGCAGTGGTGTGGTCCAGCAGCCTGGCTTTGAAAGCAGGCTCTCTGCAAGAAGTTGCGGAGCACTCCATGTCAACAAATGGCAACGGAAGGTACACAGTGCCTCCAGGCCTGCGAATGGAATTGCCAGGTTGCACCTGGTCCATGGCCGAGTGCTATCCTTGTCTATATGTGTTGCTCTCTGTTTGTTTCTGCGATGCGGCTGGCCAGTATCTACAAAGACATATCGCTCCCAGCCAGAACTGGGCATTTGGGGAAAAACTCAAACACACTTCCATGATAAATGAGGCAGTCTGGGAATTAATTTACAAGCCCTGGGGCCAGTGGGTCACAATATATCACAATGACTCGGAAGTCAATATAGACATTCCTCAAAAAGGAGGCTTCATCATGGGCTCCCCTTTCTTCCCTATATACCCCTGTAGTTTCCTTTGTGCAAATGATCTTATCTAAAAACCATGAAACTGGACAGGGGGCTTGAGGATGACGCGGTAGTCTGCCAGGGCATTTAGATGCCTGGCCAAAGCAAAGCTATATAACTCCATTCCAGGGAAGCGTGCAGTGGGTTATAATTATAGCATGGGCTGCTAGCCACTTACACACTTGGCTGAACGCGTTTGCCATTCTTTGCAGGGAGCCTTCTTCCGAGAGGACTACCAGAAGCAGCCAACAGGCATGTTCTTGAAAACCTGTAGAAACAATCATGGGGAGCATTTGGGGTTGTCTCCCAGAAGGGGGAGGACCCCAAAGTGGTCCTTTTCAGTCTCCTATATATTTTTAATATATATATATATATATAAAAAGCAAACCCAACACTTGGCTCACATGTGGGTTCACTGACAACTAGGTCCTCCAGTAGAAGAGGTAAAAAAGGGTAATTACCCTTTTTTCCGTAGTCTACTTTAGTAGGGGAATTCTGGGTAAAAGGGCACTACTGGGAGACCTAGACTGAACAGCCCGAGAGAACATATCTGGAGTAGGCTCCAGAAACCGGGCTACCCTTCGAAAACAACCCACTGCATCATCACATCGATGGTGCCGTCCGCGGCCTCGGGGTCGGCCTCGCTCTCCAACAGGAGCTCCGCGATGCGGACGTTTTTGTGGTAGCAGGCGAACATGAGAGGGGTGGAGCCGAAGGTACTCCTGGGCGGGTTCCATTTCTGTGTGTGTGTGTGTGCGCGTTAAGCTAGGCGAGCTCAACAACTTGTGGTTGGGGGGACTCCTGAATGTTCCCTTTGTTTGCATGGTAGACTTGAATGGACCATTCGAAGGTTACATGATGATACATGTTGTGCTCCCATTTCAGGGTCATCTGAGTAACACATCGAAACACCCAAACCTCGAGGAGCACAAAAGTCAGGCCCCTTGCTTTGTGTAGCTTTGGTTTCCATTGAGCATCTCACAAAAGTACCCAGAAGGTTGACTTAAACCCAAGGGCCATTCCCCATAAATCTACCTTTTGGGAGTCACAAAAGGAACCCTGTGTATTTGAAGCCAGACCTCAACCAAAAAGTGTCGAGTGAGAAATAGGGACCCGGACAAAATGGAATTATGTGGTGTCTTTGTTGGATTGTCTGACATGGGGAGCCCTATTCGTTTAACAAAAAGGTGTCCCTTCTGTTTCCCTTTGAAGCAACTCCAAAGGGCGTAGACGTTCATGGTCAAGTTTGTAAATTCATCTGACATTGGTCGGGCTTCGAAGCAAACTTGATGCTGGCTCTTGCTTCGCCATTCTTCGATCCAAACGCCATAGATTCTGTGAGCATAACGCCCTCACGTCCGTGAAACTCCCTCTTTTGCTCTCCTGGCATTGGGGTTTGCCTTGCCCTGTGCCAGCAGAAACAGAATCTGCGGGCCGTTCGGCAGGTCGGGCTTGCTGGCGATGATATGCAGCAGCGTCAAATATTCATCCCCTGCACAGCGGCGCTGAAAACTGTCTTGGGATGATTGCTCATCCGCTTGGGCCGTTCAAGCTGCAAGTCCGACAGATGTTTCTCCCGGCATGCTGAAACTGCGGGAGACAAATCGTTCATGAGAAATCCCACGCAAAACGGGTTGAAGGGCTCTCCGCACCTTGGCATCAAGTGGCCGAATTGCCACCTACCACGCCCTTCCGTGAGACCCGGTTTCGGGGGTGGGCTCGCAGCACGCATCTGGCACACCTGGAGCGCAATGGCACGGAAGGACAGCACACAAAACTAACAAAGAACCAATCCACACAGTAACCAATGGAACCACTCTTTAGAAACCAAAGGAAGATAGCTGGGGGAAAGCGTTGTGAATGCCTCTGAAGCTTGTTGTGTACTGTCAGGAAGGGATGGCTTGGATGTCGAGCACTCAAAGCATCCCAACTGGAACCCACTCTGTCAGCGGATATCATTGATCCCTCTTTCACAAAGGGGTGGCTTGATGAGACTCCAGACTTGCACGCTGCCCCCTTTCCGGCAACAAACTCAATGGCAGGCAACACCCCCGACAAGCGTAAAACCATCTCGAGCTGCAGGGCCATCTCTGTCGGGGCGACCCGGCCTTTGGGATACGAGTTTTGTTTGGCTACTCCCTGCCAAAGGACCTGGATATCAAGTGTTCACTATTTGAATTCCGAACAGGAGGCCTGGACTCCGGACCAAATTAACCAACCGCCATCAATTACCATCCTTTCAGTCCCCGTTTAGCGAAAGATGAACAAGCATCTGGAATTTATCCCTGTTGAAACACCAGCACGTGCTCGCTTCCCCCCAAGCTCGCCCATTAAAATAGGCAGCCCCACGGGCTAGCGGCCCATCCGAACAATCATCCGGGACATGTAGAAACCGACGTTTCACTCGGCCAAAACTCGTCCACCGGAGCCCCCCGGCGCCCCCAACCACCACACCCCCCTCCCCCCCCTCAACACACAAAAAACAAAACAAAAAACGGCCGGAAGGGCCTCCGGCCACCCGGAGGGGCGCATTCACCGGCGCCCCGGCGTCGATGTGCTTCTTCACCAGGCAGATGTCTCCCCGGAGGGCCGCCTGCCCGATTCCCATGGGGTTGCTTGGATCAACTGAGAGCAGCCAAGTGGTGGCTGCTCGGTATCCCATTCCCAGAACCCTGCGAGTCCATGTGCTGAGCAAGGTGCTCATTCCTGGATCTTCACACCTAGGTGACATCTCCTGTAAGTAGAGGGAGAGGAGATGACAGCTCACAACCCTGAACACCTGTTGATGACATGTTCGAACTTCGCTGTCAAATGAGTTCTTGTACTTCTTACACCTTGGGTAGCAGCAAACTGGGACCAATCCAACCGGCGATGTTCCTCCAGCGCGTTCAGATCGCCAACGTTCAGTGATGAACAAAATAAACAAACAATGCAAGAGGTGACGAATGACAACAAGAGGGATGACTCACTTCAATTCGGCCTTCCAACAAGGTAATGCATCAATCTCCCTCCCTTTGTGTGAGGCAACCATCCAGCACAGTACAGGAAACCCGCTGGATGATGAGCAACATTTAAAACAAACACATCAGGGATCCAAACTAAGGAAAACTCGTTTGCCTGTCCACCGGTGATCTTGAAATCCTGGCAAAATGCAAACGACCGTTATCTCGGCTGGCCGGGGCCCTGGTAAGCGGCCGTTTCTTCTTTGGGCTGATGCCACCCGTGACGCTGATAAATAAGCATCGGGACGCTACTCAAGTGCGATGGACCTGGCAGAACAAAGGGGCCCGTGCTTGGGGCTTCCATTTTGGGAAACACGCAAGGACGAGAAGGGATGTAGAGGGTGGAATCCATCCAAGGCATCCCAAACACCCCCTTGACGGTCGTTTTACGCCGGCCGCCTGACTGGGGGATTTGTTCCGGGGTGGACTGAACCAGGAAACCACAAACTGCGCTTGCATCCCTACCTTCAGGGAACGCAGGGGTTGCCTGAAATCCATGCCTCAATTCTCGTCCAAGGAAAAGGACACTCTTAACAATAGATCACCAGAATTCCAAACGCTTGTTGCAACATGTCTAAACAAATGCCTTACTTGGCGCTTCAACAACACCCCCTGGACTTGCCTGGTTGTTGCACATGCTGCCCAACCCTCAGAACATACCCGGTCACTCCCTGGTTGCGTTCAAAGGGACACCAACAGCACAACGACCATTTTGGGGGGGTTCCCCTAAGACCAACCCGTAGGGAACATACCGAATGACTTTGCCAGAAATCCGTTTCCCCCGTTTCGGCTGTCGGGTGGCCAAGTCGCCTCATGCAGGCCGTCCAGGCTCACCTCCTCCAGCTCTTCTTCCGGATCTGCGAGCCCTCCGGGGGCGAACCAATGCGCCGGCTCTGCGTCCTGCGATCGTTTTTTGCTTGCGGGCGCAGATGTCCAGTGGTGATCGATTCCCTTGAAAGTCCAGGGGAAAATCACCAGATTCATTTCCCCAAATGGAAGTGTGGAAGCACATACTGTGGATGGACAACGGTCCTGCACCACCGTTCGGAAAGCCTGAAATGGCTCGATTCCCCTGCAAAGTACCCACAAACAATGGCTTCAACCACGGTTTCAACATGGTGCAGGGTTTCGTGCCTCCACGGTATGTCCAGTAGTGATAGGTTCCCGCTAACACCAACAGGGGAAAGAACAATATTCATTTCAGCAAATGGAAGTGTGCTCGTGGAAAACGAATATGTTGCGCCGTCTCGAAATTGGGCTGCTCATTCTGATGTGCTCTGTGTTCCTTTGGTTTCCCTTGACCCCAGAAAATGGGCTAAGCAGTAGGAATCGAAACGAGATCTTCCTTTGCTCGTGGGGGAGCACAACTGGCATCCGCAAATGAAGCGCTTCCAGTTACCATCATTGCAGGCAACCAACTGAGACCATGAATATAAAGACTAGAGGACAAGCATAACCTGGCTAGAAAACACCCAAGATCTAGAGAGGATGAAGCACTGGGTACAACATTAAGAAAACATAAAGAGTCCGCGTGGAATCACATGCAAATCCATCGACGTAAGTATGTCAAGAACGCTGTAGTAAGACGTAAATTAATTTGTGCAATCATCGTAATTGAGCTGACTCAAATGGCATGGCTCTCGAATCGAATGATCTTTTGATGTGCCCAGTACATGGGCCAATGGCCGTCCGAATTTGGATCCGCGCCGGGTCGCTGTTGGCTCGCGAGATGCAAAAGCCGCTCAAGTTTCGCCAAACGTTAAGGAGAGAGGGAGAGAGGTCTCATTTCTGACCTCACGGCGAAAGAACAATGGCAACTCTACGGTTGGGTAAGCACAACGTTTCCATTCAACAACTGCAACCATTCACTCTACTTGCTGATCAATTCACTTGCCGGCAATTGTTGCTCTCCGGGGCAGAATGAGGAACATATGAAACACAAAGGGACCATTGGATGGGACTTGCACGATGTAAAACTACCGGCCAAGCACACACCCTCAGCAAGAGGTGCACAAGAGAAGTCTGAGGATGCAGTCTCAGGCAGTCAGCTACGCTCTCAGAACCCTGGTTGCCATGCCCCAAAGACCCCTCTCCGTGGCGTGCTTGAGGATTCACCACTTGACATTAGCAAAGCGATAGCTCAGGGCTGAATTACAAGGTCCACAAGAACCGCAAAACCTGAAATGCGGCAATCCCCAAGTACAGGACCCCATTTGCGGCTTTCGCTCGTTGTACCAAATCCCCGATGGCTGTGGGTCAAAAGCAGGTAATTACCCAAAATGGAACCCGGGTAAATGGATAGGTTGGACTAAATTCTGCGGTCTGGTTGATTGTTTGACCCATACGGCTATGAATTTTAATAAGGGGCCCTTTGGTGGACATCATTTAGGTGGGGATTCATGTCCACCAATCACTTTTGAGGTGGTTCCCTATTAAAATTCATGGCCGTATCCCAGATCTCCCCGGCCTCGAGTTCCATGCGGCCTCATGGCCTCCCCTTGAAGGAGGCCAGCCGCATTCGCTCGTTCGAACGCGGCCGCGTCGCTTGAGCCCGGATGGCGTCGACGGGGCGCCCTGCATGTCTCAAGCACCTGAAGGGGACCTGGATCGACAACCAAACGCCCAAGAAAACACGGGTTCAGCACAAGCCCTTGCTTGTATAAACAACCTACTGTAGTCTAGGCTGCCCTTTTGAGAGCAATTGCCAGGGTGCTTAAACCAACTGCCCTACCGTGCACAAGGAAATGCCTGCCGGACAAGTAAGTCATGCAAAACCTCGCCTCCTTACAAGATCTCGGGTCCATCTGATGGCAAACTGCACTGATTTCACACACTGGTACTAAGGCCAAATCCCCAGAGGACATGCATCACGCGCCAATTGGCTCGTTTTGAACCCCCCTCAATCGGAACTCCCAAGCGGCGGGAAGGACGCGTGCGAGAGCTCGAGGAGCTCACCTGAGCCTAGCAGAACAAGGAATGGGGACCGCGCTTTTTCGAGGGGTTGCCCACCTGGATCGCCAGTTGCTGCTTTTTCCATCCACTTTGCCCCAAAAACCAGCAACAGTGACTGAAAAAAGTGGTAACTTGGCTATCTAGCGTATCTAGGCAATGGCCAATGGCTGTGGTTGAAAGAAGGAACTCCTGTTGGGATTCACTGATTCCATTGCTTGAGGAAACACAAAAAAAATAATTGATTTGGAGGGCATCACTGAACAACTCGGATGTAGCCACTGCCATGTAACATGCAGTTCTGTCTCATGCATCCGGGACAATTGGTGAGGGGCAAGCAGAACTGGTCCGTTCTGGTTCCCACCCTGGACAGCATGGTGGGACATCTATGGAATGGAATGCGCTGCTTGCGCTAAGAGAACCCCGTCTCACTGACATGTCTTTTGCAAATACGTGCATTTAGTGGGTGCGGGTCCGGATGAGTCACGATCAAACCGGGTATTGAAGCAGTCGACTCAAAACCAAGTAAAGAATGAAAAGGCCGGCCTATGGTTGGGATTCTTACCTAGTCTCCACCCACCCGAGGCTCTGAAAGGTGCGCTTTCTGGCAAACTCCCCGGATGCCTCCTGTTTTCACCACAGCGTGCTGCGGGTTGAATTTCTGGAACTCCTGCATGGTGATCTCCCCGTCTCCGTTCTTCTCCATCCTTCGGGTCAGCGGGGAATGCCTAGCTCTTCAGATAGCACCAACAGGTTGCAACTTGTGCCGCCTTTGACGCTAAGCCAACGTATGAAACATGTACGCGCGGGCAGGTGACCAAAATTCTTACAGTCGGAGATCAGGCAATCCTCGTCTTGAATCCCGACGAACCTTCCCCCGGAATCAGTGAGCTGGTCATAGCCCCAGTATCCATATAATATCTCCGCGTCGCATGCTTGGCTTGCACGACTCCGCATGGGCTGATGGGGCTGGCGAAAAGTCTGCCAAAAGGCAAAGGATTTGGCAGGCCAAAGCTGTTGCACCCTGTCACATTCAGCTTCATGCCCGTTTTGTGGTTTGGATTGGGCCGGTTTCGAGCTTGGGGAGGTGGTTCCCCAACTCCCAATCCCCAAACCACCCAAACCACCTTCCACCCAAACCACCAAACCAATTGGGGGCTGCCTGAAACATACACCCCAAACTCATCTGGATCAACCTAACATGGGACCTCAGAAGGGGATTTCAAGAAAATTCCTGCTTTGGGGTTCCGGATCGCAAAAAGCGAAGGGAAGCGGATGTGAAATGGGATCTGGAAAAAAAAGGCACAAAGCCATCCCGGAATCCCCTTCTGCTTTGCTTGGGGGAAAAGAAAGCGACCTCAGCTGTTGATGCCAACTAAGATTTACTTCTTTAGACTATGGTCCATACTCGGCCAACCAACATGCAACATCATGTCGGAAGACTCTAGGAGAGCCTTGGAATCTATGAGGCCCTTTGACCCCAGCACAGTGGAAAAGCCATTTTCGAGTGCCAAACTCTTTTTTTACCTCTCAAATGGTCCAAACCCACTTCAAAGTCACAGCACGGGGGGGCATCCTTTTTGTTCCGCGCCCCAACCCTTCCGCAGCCGAGGGTCGAACCGAACTCATCTTTGGGCTCCCATTGCTTGAGCTCGTTTGCTGTCACCTTGCCGTCCCCGTTGCCATCCAAACTACCTGAGCCAAGCGTACCTCTGCCCTGGGGGATCGCAGGCGTTGCGCAACCATTTTCCTTTTGATATGGTGGTTCCCTTCACATAAACATTGCGAATCCCTGGATTCGTCCACCGGTGGACTTGGGGCTTCCCGTTTGTCAATCCCGGGTTTCGGCTCCCGTTCGAATGGCAACATACCGCACCCCGGGTAGTTTCCAGCTAAGCATGTTGCTCAAGTTGCTTGCTTTTCCGGTTTGCAGGGCTGCGGACCCAAAGGAGTTCCCAAGAATCCGAAGGGGTTCAAAATGGATCCTGACCCAACATGTCATTTCCCGCAGATGGCAGCAGTTGGGCCAATACCATGCAACCCAAGTGCAGGGCAAAGGCACAGCGAACCGCATCCTCCAGGTTAGCTACCCTCGACTCCAAATACCCACTTAGGGTATCATGTCGACCCTCTACTGAAAAAGGAGGTATTTACCTTGAAAAACCAGGCTTTCCAAAAAACGCCCTAGAAAAAGTGGGTATTTGGAGTGGGGGGTAAGCTTATGTCAGGGAACGATTGAATGTCCATCCAACAGTCACTAATCTCCAGGACTCCTGGTATTCCCCCCTAGCTCATTGCTCGTTAACTTTGTTAACTGTCTTTGCAGGTCCTTTGATCTTGTCAGGGGCTGTCAGCTTCCCTTTCACATTCGCAAAATATCATAGCCATGAGGATTTGTTTTTACGTCGCTGATGCGTTCGAATCATGCCATGTGTGCATTTTGGGAAAGTGGCCAATGCCATGCAGGCGCAATGCATCGCAATCGTTCAGGCTGCTCCATCAATGTTGCCGAGCAAGTGTGCCAACTCAACTCAGACTTCCCGAATTTGCAAAATCATGCCCTCTCCATGCTCAAGCAATGTTAAGGCATAGAAATGACAAGTTGGGGCCTTTCGGGTCTGAAGCAAACGGGTCTGAAATGTCTGAACTATGTGAGTCATCGGTCACTCGATACGGATCGAAGTCTTCGACCAAGTCGGCGACAGCCGTCAGTGCAGAAAACACGATGACCTTTCCTCCAAGTGCTGGCAAGCAAAGGACATATAGGATCCGAAGCCTCCCTCCCTTTAGCTGCCCCTGCTCTCTTATCTGCAAATGCTTAAAAAAGTATTTGGGAATATAGGAATGCGGGGTGGGGGGGGGGGGTGGCAAACTGCAAAGACCGGAAGGCAACTTGCCACACTACGGCTTTTTCTTCCCCGAGCCTTGCTGTTAGCAAGATGCCTCAGCTTCTGTACATGGCCCATGCTGGCCAGGTGAAGCACTCTAATATGACTCACTTCCCAAGTTGACTGGCCAAAAAAAGATTGAACTTTTTATTTACCACTAAAATGGTCTTTTCAAAAAGTTTAAAGTCCACCAACTCAGGAAGTGAGATGAACTGCAGCATGAAGCTTCAAGCTGCTGCAAAAACCTCCTCAATTGTTTTTCTTGTGAAACCTACCCACCCATCAACTGCACCAATTGTGGCACATTGAACGGGAGGTCCCTGTCTTGCCTGAAGCAATGCCGCATGTGAGGGTAGGCTGAATCGCGCCACTGAGCTGCCCAAACCATGCGTCTGGAAGTGAAACCCCTCAAACGCCGGGGGGCAATGACAAACCCTCTCAGATCAAGCATTCCCATCCAAAACCGCTGCCTACAGATTGGAACTAGGCCAGCCTGAAACGACAAGAGGTCCATCGCAAATGATCATTCTGAGAAAGCAAACGTGACACCAGCAGACAGGATTGGGCCGCAGTTCAGACACGTCTACACACCTGTTTCAACAATCTCTCTTTGGTTCCACGGCTGGAGTGAGGTTTCAACAAACTTGGCCCAGCCCTAATGGCACCCCATTCAGCTCACTCACCCTATTCCGGGCCCTTCAGCAGCTGCGCCAGCTGGGTTGGGTCGTGCCACTCTGCGGCAGCGCCGGACGGCAGCAAGAAACAAGCGTTCCTGAACGAAGCCAACACAAACCAACGGCAAACAAAACCAACAACCAAGGAGGAAATCAAAGGACACCCCTTTCTGTTGTGCGGGGGGGGGGGGTGGGGGGGTGGGGCGGCGTGTGGGAATACTCCAACAGCTTGAACAATCTGGGGTCAACACTATGCCTCTTGGCGTTAGAAGGCAAACCACCAGTTTGGGGAGTTCTTCCAGCGACAAATCCATATATTGTCAAACACACTTGCCCACTGTAAGCCTCGGAGTAGGGAGGGGGACACTAAATTTGTTTTTGGGACATTCTTCGTCCGCAATCCGAAGACCAATAGGTGCATAGGCTAAGCCGAGTTGACAAGCCAAGGATGGGCCGTGAGCAAGGCCCCCCCCCCGAACTGCTTCTGGGCCTTGGGGTTGTGGTTCAATCTGCCAATCCAGGGCTTTGGGTGACTGCGACTCACTTTTCGCCCTTTCCACCAAAATGGTCCATCCAGCCTCCAGCCCGTTTTTTGTTCTTTAATATTCACACTGAATGACATACAAAAATACAAAACCCAAGCAGTTGAGCCAACCAGCAATCGCAAGTTCACGATGAAAACCGTTCGATGCCTGCCTTTGCAGGTCCCAGGCTAGCAGACCAAAGTGCTGCGCCAAGTGCGGCAGCATGTGTTGCAGGAACTGCGCCCATTCCAACGCGCCAAACGCCTGGGATTCGATGCTCATTCCAACTGATTCCGCATCCGGAAAAACCAGCGAATCGAGCTCCATAGGCTGGAAATCCGTTACTAGAACGCACTCCGCTTGCACTTCTACTGGGGGCCATCCATACCTAGCACAAGACTATGGTAAGATACGCTAAGTTGAGGGGATTTATTGGTTCCTTGCTTGCACTATTAGGGCATCCACTGTTGTGGGAAGATTGGAACATGCAGGAGCATGTGAAACATACGAGTAGAACCGGCCGAGCCGGTGGTCGGAAGATTCTCAAACAAATTGCTCTTTCTCTTTTCTCCTATCTATCTTTATTTTATCTTTAGCTTTATACTATTTGTTGCTCTTGTTCTTGACAGCTTGTCGTTCCTTCTTTTTATCTTGCTCATTGTCTTATTTGTTCTTTTACTTTCTCTGTTTCGCCTACTTACACTACCCGTATCCTACCTTCCACTCTCATCTACTTTTAGACGGCAGCTAGCCTTCACATAGCGCCGGTACCGCGGAAGCTTCTTCTAAACTTCCCTTTCCAAGGGGGAGGAGGCTCTAGACATGCGAGCACTGTACATTTATATAGATATATATATATATTCTGTTTGCAGGTGTTCGCATACGCGCTATATAAAGGCTACACCGCTAGACAGGGCTAAACATGACACACAAATCTTGCATGCGCATACAAGTGGGATTGTTCTCGTGCCATGATTGGGGCCTCTTAAGGCAATGTGCCAATCATACGGGTATGCGTCAAAAGTATGTTCCCATTTTCGAGTGAGGATGCGCGTTTGTGACCAATGGAGCCACTCGTCGGTTCTTGGGGTGACTGATCATACCCTTCACTTCTTAAGAGCCTCAAGGGGGCCTCGTCGATTGAGGGAAAGCAGACTTTGCAACTAAATCGAATTCCACAAGGAGGTATGATAAGCAGCCCATCAGCTAGTCAAGGGGAGATAGGCTATTGGCTCAGAGAGGTCCGGAATGAGACTCTTGCACAGAAGGGCTCCCCCCAAACAAGCGCTCAGCCATTGTTTGTGCTTCTGTTGTTTCTAGCTACTAGTCATGGCGCTGTCTATTTGAAACCGCACGGACGAGCAAGCTGCCCTTTCCAACCTTCCTGAAAGTGAAAAGGGACCTTTTCAGGATTGATAGTCTTCCGCCCCCTCCTGTTCCACTTCCATGATTGTTGGACCAACACATGCAACAAAACCATGCAAGTAAAACCCGCAAAACTAAATGGATGCCGACTGCCGGATTTTGTCCATCCACCGTATCTCCTCCCAAACCTTCCAAAGGCTCGGTTAAACCAGGTGGTCGGCGGAAAGACTCTGCTCTCTTTTGCTAGGTGTCCCTCTTTGGATGGCCTTCAAATGGGGTCAAGTGCCTTCAAATCAACGCTTTCCCCGCCTCGCTCTCGTGGATCACCGCTCCTGCCAAGTTCCGGAAAGCCACCGCCTGCGACCGACAGGCGGCTGACTCACGCAAGTCCAGTTTGCGCCAGGCCCACGGCAGCATCACATGGGTGCATCGGAATTCGGTGGGGACTTGCGTCCACCTCTCACTTCTCAGGGCGTTCCGCATTTTCAAAAATCATAACCACGTTGCAGCTCGCTTTTGGGAAGCCAACCAATCTCAGAGTTTGCGCTCCATGCCGGGTTGATTTCCTTTGTAACCACCCAAACATATTCCTCAAACTAAACCCGGGCCCATTGCAGTGACATTCGGAAAGATACCCAAGTAGTGGTTTGAAGGGGGGGGGGGCCCAACCCCCCGATAAAGCGCAACTTTCAGCATGAGAGTTCAAAGTGCTCAGGTTGAGCCGCGATTTTAAACCTGTTTTCACCTCAAGCGGGGAGCCGCCGTGGGAGCTCCGCCTTCAACTCTGAGCCCGCCCAGCATGGCTCCACTGCAAGCACCAGCTGCGTCACTGGCGCCAGGAGCTTCGGGTCTCGGGACACCTGGAAGTCCCGGAACTTGAACTTCCTTGGATCAGCGTTTGTTTTTCTTCTCATTCTCTGGGGACGAACTCAGAATTCGGTCCACCAGGCTCCATGTTAGTGGGTGGGAGGTTTTGTTTTCTCCCCAGAACTTGAACTTGAAGTCCTGGAAAAAAAACACCTGGAAGTCCTGAAGTGCTGGTACCTTGAGCTTTCCTGTTTTTCAGCTGGGGACGAAGTCAGAATTCACTCCACCACTTTTGAGGTGCTTAACTGCTGAAACTCATAGCTCCCCTCCCACCAATTAACATGAAACCTGATGTTCGGGGGGATGTGGTTTGCATCATGTTCCTTTTGAAAGGGCCCCCTGTCAGGTTCCAGGTTAGTTGGTGGGAGGGCAAAATTGTTCAGCTTCCGCCCAATTGGTAGTTTGAATCTTGGGGATGGCTTCCCATTTACCGTCTACAAGAACTATGGCTTCAAATCCCCAAGCCACCAACCAAGGGTCACCTCACTAAACACCAGTTTTGCTTGGGCTCGCTCAAGCAATCAAAAACTAGAGTAGCAAAGCAAACAACAGCCAAATGTGCCAAGAACAGTCGAAATTTCAGGGAAAGCATGCCCTCTTTCCAACAATCATGGAATTTGACAGAGGGATTTCTTAAAAGAAACGTAAGTCTTCCAAAACCTTCCTGCAGGGGAAATCACCTGATTCAGCAGGCAGAATATACATACCAGTGATATGCAGGCAGGGCTTGCCTGGGCCCTGGCCGCTGGGTTCAATAAGGGGTGTGTGTGTGTGGCAAAATAGCGGGACCTCAAAACTGATGGTTGCCCTTTTGGTTGTCCTTTCAACCGACAAGTAACAAACGGTACCCTCAAAACGACAACAGACAAACACATGTATACGTACTTGTATATATATATATATACACGTATATATATATATGTATATATATATATATATATATTTTTTTCTGACCAAGAGTCGTATTGAAGCAGTAGACACCGATGTAGGGCCGCGTCGTCGCCAGGTTGCCTTTTTCCAATTTCACGGAGTGCACTCGCCTCTCACAGGCTTTGCTTGCAAGTGAGCACGGCGGGAAAACCAAAAACGACCGATGGTTGCTAAATCCCGCGCCACGAAATGAAACCACGCTTGAAACCATAACGTTCCTTTGGTATGCACAGGCTAATCGAATCACTCCCTTGGGTTTCTTAGGTGGTGAGAAATGAATTTCGTCCATACGGCAGTCTCCCAAAGAAAAGTGCTGGGAGGGCTTCAACTCTTCTTGTTAGCTGAGAAAAACGGATCCCACCCAAAAGACCACTACCCCAGGGGTTTACACAGATGCCACTTTCTTGAATATATATATGTTTTTCCTCCGGGTTACCCGAAGATCATCTGGATTCGCGAACAAGCCCAACACAAACTCTCAAAAAAAAGAAGATGAATAAGGGGAGCCGAAAAGGGCGAACTCAGGTCGCAAGGTCTAAACAGCCGTTTCTTGCATTTGCTTCCGCCTGGCAAAACAAAATAGTTCTAGTGATAGGCTTTAGATTCCCTTTTTCTCTCTCTCTCTCTCTCTGCCGTCCAGAGGGTCTTGACTCAGCAAGGCAACGAAAAAGGCGCCCACCGATGTTCAGAACCACCTACAACATACTAAGAGCCCACGAGGGCTCAAATAGGAAATGCTCATAGCCAATGGAAGGCTTGCTTTCGGTTTTCGGCCCGCCTGTCGTTGACCCAGTAGGTGGCCCGATCTTCCGACAGAGCCAGTGCCATGGAGTTCCACTGCTTCAGATGCAATTGTTGGTTCCCGTGCCGTGCCTTAGGCTCAGGACCTGGATTACCCCAAATCGATTTGAAGGAGGGCCTTGCATTTGTTTGGCCCTTTCTAGAAACCTATCCAAAAGCTTGGCTTCTTTTCATTCAAGTAGTGCGTGGCTTCTTTTGTGGGAGCTTCCGTTTGGTCGGCTGCAAAGTCAAAACAACCTTAATCACTTCTTGAGTGGATTGTCCACCAAAAAGCTTAAGAGCAATGGTCAAGAAAACTCCGCCAAAATAGATCAGTTCCTTACTAAACGGGAAACACCCCCATGATTGGTACGATCCCGACTGGTCAAACTGTTTGTTGCCTCCTTCACGCCAAGTCTCCCCTTCCTTCAAAAACGCGCCAAAGACCTCCAAGCGGAAATCGAACACGGCGCGGTCCACTCCAGCGCAAGCCGTGAGGCCATCGCCATTCGCGCCCCAGCCCAGCTGATTCTCCGTGGCGATGAGGAAGCATTCGGTGTTAGGCTCCAAAGGGAACACCTGGGCTGATGGACCTTGAAAAGTTACCCGGACCTTTCCTTAGGGGGAGGAAGGGTGCCAACACAAACCTGTGGATGGACAAAATCCAGCACCAGTTGTTGGGATGAATGAAGCCCGACCAGCTTGGCTTTTGTCCATCCAAATGTTGAAAAGGGCTCACCAGCGGGCTGAAAGTCTACCTTTGGATCAACCAAAGGACCCGTCCCAAAACCATCGGGAAATTAAGCATTCGAAGCTGCCTCCACGCGCACATGCACCGGCAGGGCCCACCTCACACCCTTCTCGTCCTGCGCCAAAGCCAAAGGAACATGGGAAGGCGCCCTCAAGGGATTGATCTTCTTTCATTGAAGGGCACATGGACATTTCAATTTGATGTCCTAAACATGAGTTAGCTTGCCAACATGTATCTGAAGGTTCAGAGCACCACAAGCTAACTTGATGTGTTTGCCCTATGTCTGCAATGGCTAGTTGGATGTGCAAACACGGTATGCTCAATTCCTAATTCCTGAGTAGACTGGCAAACACCAGTCCAAGCTTTCTCCAAGATATGGCACATGTTCAACCCTGGTGCCGCCTTGCGCCGCCATTCGGCCGGGATACAAACAATGGCCACTCACATTCCCCCCTCCCACACATGTTTGACTCACTATGCATGTTTACTACGTTTGTTGTGCTGTTGTAAAGATTTACCTTAAGGCTTACGATTCAGTATGTCCGATTTAACACCTGATTTGGGTGCAAATGCCATTTTTGTAAATACAGCATGGCACGCTGAGGTGCACTTGAATGTGCAAACATACGTTTGGAGGAAAAGATCCACTGGTGTGAAACGCACTTCGCTTCTGGAACATCGCCTGAGTGTGTGTCCCTTTGAGGGGCCTGATCGAAATCCATTGGGGCAACCTTCTCACTCCACAATCCGAGCGACCAATGCAACCCACAAACCGTTCAACCCGGTTTGAGCGCACCGTTCAACCCGTAAACCGCGGAATCCACACTCCGGGATATGCTTTGAACAGGCAAGGAAGGGCACCGGGCAGCAAATCTGCCTGAAACGGGCGCTGGAGGGGCAGAACTTTAGCAAAGAGAAGCCCAAGGGAGCTGATGTCCAATGTTTCACTCGTTGGATTGATGATTTCAAGACTCGCAGCCAGTAGTGCCCACGGAAACGCGGTGACACACCCTGCTGGTGGGCGAACTTGAAGGGACCCCACGCCAAACAGCAAGGGACAACCCCTTCCAGAACAAAGGGAAACGACAACCAGCACCCCTTTGAAGGAGGCCTCAAAAGGAACGCCCTGAAGCCACTTCTCCAAACAGGGATTCTACAACAATTGGGAACGTTCGCCGTCGCCTGCTGGTTTTAGCACCCAAACCTCCTGCGGAAATCCGCAAAAAAAAGACCACAAGCCCAAAAACAGGAAACCCTTGCCTCAACACCCGCAAACCCCTCTAAAGCAATCAAAGCCATTCTTTCTTTTCATATTTGAAAGGTAAGCCTGCCAACCTTTCCCCCAAACATCGGAGCCTCACGAAAATTTGCGCCGACCGAGCCCACGACGGGACGGGCCCGTCCCTCCTGGCGGTCCAGCTCGCTGAGCGGGGCTTGCGGGAAGACCATGGCGCCCAGCGCCAGCTCCTCCCGGGGTCCAGGGATGCAGTGGGATTCTCCTAAAGGGGTTGGTCACAAAAAAACCTACAGGACATGGGCCCAAAACACCCATCAAGAAGCAGCTTTCCTGTAGAATGTCGTGTCACCAACTTTGACCCTACCTACTCTAAAAGGTGACGCGAAATCCCAGACCGCACCACCTAAGAAACTATGGTTGAAACCATAACGTTTGTTGGCATTTGCAAGGGAATCGAATCATTCCTGGGTTTCTCAGGTGGTGCAAAATTTTGTCCGCCATGTTGTGTTTAGCTTCCGTTTCGTGCGTCAGGTTCTAACCACCGATCCACGAACGTGTGGGT